TATCTGGCGGAGTTGTACTGTGCTCAGGCTTACAAAGAACATGCGTCTACAGAGTTTTAAAGATTCTAAGGAACGTGAAGATGTTGCTCGGTTCACTGAATGAATTGCGAGCATTGGTGGTGGAACTATAGGAGGGTCAATTGATGGTTGTGCAATGATTGACATATTATATTGTTTCAACCATCCGATGATCCGATTGCTCAAATTGTAGAAAGCACGTATCCAATGTTTAAGCAGACAACCGATGATCCCAGTTAATTGAATGACATGACAATATTAGCACCAACTCTTGATGTTGTTGAGTCCATCAATGAATACATGACATTGTTGAATACGTACTTGAGCTCTGGCAGTACTTGCAAGTCCGACTCGAATAATGATTTTCTTTCTGATATCCATACGCCCGAGTTGCATTTGAAGATTGGAACCCCCGTCATGTTGTTGCAGAATATGGATCATTCTATGGGTTTATGTAACGGGACATGGTTGGTTGTGACAAAACTATCTGCTCATGTTCTTGAATGTAGGATACTCACTGGGGATCATGAAGGCGAGAAGGTGTTGATTCCTAGAATGGCTATAACTCCTTCCGATGTCAGAATTCCTTTCAAGTTCAAGAGGCGACAATTTCCCGTTATGATTTCGTATGTCATGACTATCAACAAGAGCCATAGACAATCACTATCCCATGTTGGTTTATTGCTTAAGAAGTCGGTGTTCAGTCACGGGCAATTATATGTTGCCGCCTCCCGTGTCACCAATCGAAGTGGGTTGAAGATATTAGTCTGTAATGACGATGACTTGCCACCAAATCAACCCAAAACGTTGTGTACAAAGAAGTGTTTATTGATTTATGAAGTTTTATATTTGTTTTTTTCTTCCATTTTATATGTGTTACATATCTACAAAGTGCATTATATTTAATGTTAATATTAAAAAAATATTTATACAAATATAAGATCCCGTGTATCGCACGGGTCAGTACTAGTATTTATGTATAAACTTTACAAAAAATAAACAAATAAATAAATAAATAAAGCGACGAGGACAAGTTGGGATTTATTTTTGTTCCTTTAATTTGTTTGTTTGCTCATAATCTATGCAATTCGACGTGTAGTGGGACTGTAGTGCCAACATCTCATTGGTTGACTGTCCTTTCAAGTGGCCAAATTCAGTGCGCTGTATATGCTGTTGTGACATATAAAGTGGGGAAATATTACGGGTCTCGCAATTATTCTGTCAAAATCTGTAACCGTCGTGGATAGTTGATCTAACGGTTATAAATTCCAACGAGATAGTTCCATAACGGGACTGTAACATCTCTTTATAAAGTATACATATTAATTTTTGTTTTGGACCATTGAACTTATTTTCAAACTAAGAAAAACATTTTTGAATATTATCTTTCACATTAGTTTTTTTTTATAATTTTTAATGTTACTTATATATTTTACTAGTTTATAAATTAAATATACAATTGTTTCATTAATTTTCGGAAGGCAAATATTTAATTTAAATTCTTAATTGTAATTTTTGAACTTGAAACGTAAATCTTACAGATTGGAAGAGGTCTATAGTGTAGATAAAAGTGTTGAATGATATGAATAAAACTAAGGCTATGTTTGGTTGTTGGCGTTTTCGCTAATTTTTAGCTTTTTTGGGCCTTTTAACTGTTTTGAAAGATTGACCAGCTAAAAAATGTTGTTTGGTAAAAAAGCTTGTAGAAATGACAGTTTTGTCTGAAACGCCAAATTTTAGAAACGCTGCTTGGAGCGGCGTTTGCCATTACCGGATTTCAAATTCATTTATTTAATTACGTGAAAAGTACATTTTTTGGGGCATTTGTATGATGTAGCAGTGATGAATGATTCACATCCACATGTATTTTTTTTTTTTATTTTGTTTTATTATTTGTTTTAAGAATTAGGTCCGTTCAATTTATGGGTAATTATTTTAATTTTTGTTTTTATAGTTCTTAAGGGGTTGGCATGCTTAAAGGCCACTTTAATTAATTGTGTATTCTTATGTGAAATATTTTATTTTTCAATATAACAAAATAAGTGAACGTATATCATTATTTTAAAAAAGGTATGTTATAATATTTCTCTCTCTCTATTTACGTATATTTAATAAATTATTATTATTATTATTAGTAGAACGCCCGTGTATTATATGAGTGCTTGCTAATTTTTTCTTAAAATCTAAAATTAATGAGAAAAAAGTAGTTGCGATTTTAAATATCTTTTATAAATATATATATATATATTATTATATATTTAGTATGATTTTTGCGACTTACATGTATCATATTATAATAATTATAATAATTATTTTAACTTACAACATATAACTACATTAAACATAAATATATCAATTGAGAAATAATTTTATTTTTCTAATGAATTTTAATAAATATTGTTATTTTTATAATTATAAAGATAAATATAATTTATTTATTTCATATATACAATATGAATGTCAAATCGAAGATCATCAGAAGATGATTAATTTGATATATTATATATATAAAACCGATAAGAAATACAAAAGTTATCAACTATTAAAATACATTTACAAGTCAATAGTTTATTGAAGGAAACAAATCAAAAGTCAGGGATATATAAGTCATTTAGTGTCTCACTATGTAAAATTACAAAGAATTATAGAGTTATAATAGTACAGGTGATATTAAAATACTTAAGTTAGCTAGATAATATTTATGGAATGTCCGAAACTAGATTATTAATTATTAATATATCAGTATTATTTGTCCAAACCTAATTACGAAGCATGATTATTCGCTAAGTAGGACTCTGAAGCACCAGAATCAGTCACGTAGGCTCAGTGTATTCGAGAATTATATTAGGGAGGATTATTATTATTATTATTATTATTATTATTATTATTATTATTATTATTATTATTATTATTATTATTATTATTATTATTATTATTATTTAAGTAATTATATATTTACTCACAACAGTTATTTTATTCAACTTATTAATATCAATCTGCTAATTTTATCAAACTCGTTATCACAATCCGCTAATCTAATTTTCGGTCGAAACACCTAGTACAATCAACTGGTCAAAACAGTTGATATGATCCGCTAACAGCTGATTGCCAAATAAGCTATATAAAATTAACAACAATCACTCTGATGCAAAGAAATTGAATCTCTAATTGCGGCTAAAATAAATTTAAGGTAGGTTGAGTTTTTTCTTTTTTTCTCGCTGTCAAATAAACAAGTTCAATTCACTTATATTTGCTGGAGAATATACTTTTCTATATTAAGGCAATTTACATTTTTAATAAATTCAAAGTAGTGGATGTTCATGTGATTGCGACCCAACAAAAAGCTTAAAAAAAAGGAAAAAAAAAGGAACCTAAAGAAATCTAAGGCCATCTCCAATCGAAAAACCCAAACTCAAACTCATTTTGCAGTAACTTTCCCATTTTGTAGTAATTCATCTCC